AGTCAGAAAAAACAACCTTAGGAGGGATTTATGTCTTTCAAAATGTGTTTTTAAAGGTTGAAACATCCCTTTTCATGCTGTGCGAGATGTATATATTTTTAATGTATGCTTTTGCAGTTTAAAAGAAGCAGAGAAGCCATTCTGTGAACGTCTCCACCGAATCAGAGACCTGATGGACAGGAGCAAAGTTAGCATAGAGGAAGTCATCTCTGAACTGGGTCAGTATGATTATTTATCGCTGATGAGGAGGGGTATGTGATCGGGTTTGTTTGTTTTCAGGATTACGGAAATGTTTATTTAAAGAATTCCATAAGAAAGGTTTATTGACAGATTTTGGGTTTGATCTAAAATTAGAGGTGACTTTAAGAGTCAATCTGAATCTGGATCTGGGTTTTTGAGGAAGTGTACATGCAGAATTACATTTAGATTCATGAAGCCTGCCAAGTTTTGTTCATACCATCGCGCCCCTGTTACGGAATCAGTCATTCAAAACCACCACTCTGACTATTACTGCCATCTGCCACGCCCACAGTGAGACACTGCCGTTGGGAGCTGAATATCAGAGGGGGAGCAAAATTTAATACAGAGGGGTTATTACCAACTTGGTTGAATAAGCCGTCATCAAATAAACACTATAAAGACAAAGAACATGATAAAAAAAAAACACCATTACTATATTTTTTTACATTTTAGATATATTTCTCCTGGTTTATTCTAAGTAAATTTCCCCATCTTATTTATCTTTTAGTATATGAGGAAGTATTAATGGGCGTTAGGAAGCAAGCCACATGTGCAATAAGGCCCTGATCCACTTCCTTTCTTTACATGACATTTCCTGTTTCTCTTGACTGCCACCACAAAAACACGTCCCTGTCTTTGTGACTTTTACCAGGTAATGGCATTGCAGCTCTTCACTCCGTCCCCACTGCAATCTTCTGTGTGCTCCACTGCCTGCAACCCCGGGAATGCCTCCCAGAGAGCTACGGCGGCGTGGAGAGGACGATAGCGTACAGCCTGGCGCTGGGAGGGGACACTGATACCATAGCCTGCATGGCTGGGGCCATCGCGGGGGCCCACTACGGCATCGAGACCATCCCTCAGTCCTGGATAAGGTGCTGTGAGGGGGTGGAGGATGCAGACCAGTATGCAGAGAGGCTTTACAAGCTGTACCACCAGTCGCCACTGGGGGGCAAAGGCGAGACAGGCGAGCAGAGTGGCGAAAACAGGTCAACTGCTGCTAATGGCACAGAGAAGAAAACTGGAGTAGAGTGATGGATCAGTCACATTGTCATTAAAAGACTTTCACACACATAAAGAACGTGTAAAAAAGACTTTAAATTTTGTTTTGTTTGGAAAAGCTTTTTTTGGGGGGGATCTTCATGGTATTAAATAATTTAAGCTTTGAGGAAGAAAGTGATTTTTCCAAACTGTCAACATGAAATTTATTAAGTATCTGAAAATTAGAGCTGAAGAAAATTTCCAGTCTTAATTTTGAGAATGTGGCTTTTACACAAACTGCCAAACTTCTCTGAACGCCAATCCAAAAGTGGTCTAAATATGAATAAACAGCATATTCATACACGCTCTCTTTTCCTTGCTTTCCCCTGATTTATGTCCTGTCTCGTGAAAGTTGCACTATAAATTGACCATGTCTTGTTTTAGCAATTTGGTGAAAAATATTTAATAAACTTTTTATTTTCTTTTTAATTCACACATCTGTACGAGTGTTCTCAGACCCAAAAAGCACATCTACTTCATGAAGATCTGCTCCATTCAGATGCTTTTGTGATGCTTATTCACGCAAACTTATAGCGAGTACAGACGAATACAAACAGAATCTGAATATTGCAAGAAATCAGGAAATGTCAGGAGCACTAAGTTTGCTGATATATTTGAAATACTTTATTTGTTTGTTGATTATAAAGTGACAGCAAGGTATGACTGACATGCAGTAAATGGCAGAGCTGTAAGGTCCCCTGCAATGCAGAATTATAGCGTGTTTTAGTGTTTATTGTATTAAAAAAAGATAATCAATGTTTTTCAATGACAAATATGGATTTGTGTCCCTTAAACTTAACTTAAACATCTTGCAAATGATCTTTTACAATGAGCTTAAATGAAAGTTGTGAATTTACAATAACATCAATTTAAAAATGCAAGTAAAACACTTTAAATGCACCTTTAAATAAAACAGCAACACTGCATTATCAGATGCAATTTAACATGTAAAGATAATTCATGGAAAAAGGCTTATTTTATTGG